TGGATGCTGGGAATTGAACCTGTCTCCTCTGCAAGGGCAGACAGTGCTCTTAACCACTGAGCCATCTCTTTAGTACCCACCACCCCCGCAATGCATCTTTTAAGAGCCTATCCTCCCACCTCTAGACTCTACTGGGCTCTGAAAATGAAATGTGGGGTTTGGTAGGTGGCCCCACATTGTACATTCCCCAATAATTAGAGGCTTTGAAGATGGCTAATCATATTGATGTGGCATGCTTGTAGATACCAGTTCTGTGTGTGTGTGTGTATGTGCGTGTGTGTCTATGTGTACTTATATGTTTGTGCTTATGTATGTGTGTGCCTATGTGGTATGAGTGTGCATGTGTGCCCAAGTGTAGTTGTAAGTGTTTGTATATATGAAAGTATGGAGTGCATATGGTATAATGTGGTGAGTATGTATGTATATGTGTGAGTGTGCAATTGTGTGTACTTGTGTGTGAGCATGTGAATGTGTGTATCTAAGCATATGTTGCTGCATGTGAGAGTATGAATGTGCTGTGTGAGTGTATATGAGTGTGTGGATATTGCATGACAGCATGAATGTGTATGTATACATATGAACACATGAGTGTTGCTGCATGTGAGCATGAATGAGTGGTTATGTGAGTGCATCTGTGTAGGTGTGAGTGTGTGCATGTGTATGTATCTGTATTTGTACAATATAAACAATATGTGTGCGCATATGAGCATGTATGAGTTGAGTTGTGGCACATATGGCTGGCTACCTGTGTTGTGCCACAATGCCGGCAGGCCCCAGGTTTCCCGCCCTGTGGTTGAATGTTCTGATTAGCTTGTTGATTTCGGACTGAAGTGCAGAGCGCAGGGAAGAAGCTGGCTAGGAAGCACTTCATGAGGCACCGTGGAGGGCAGCACCTTTCACTTCGTCTCCTGGTTAAAAAGCTCCACAAGTGTGACCTCTGTCCATGGGGGAGTCTGATAGAGAGAGAGCGTAGGTGGCCAGCAGCCTCTCCTTTGTGGCTAGGCATGCCTTTCTGGTCTTTCTGAGGACAGAGCAGAGTAGAGGAGTCACCTCAGACATAGTGAGCAGAATACTGTTTACATTTTGCATTAGCCCCAGGCAGGAAGGATGTTCCTTTGACCACATTCTAGCCAAGGACCCAGGCTTTCCTTCCTTCCCTCCTTTCATCGAGAGTCTTCTATATGGCTTATTGTCAGAGCACAGTGGCACTGCCAGTCTGTGCTACATGGTGCCAGCTTCTAACCTGGAGGGGCGTTGATGAACCTGTAAGGTTGTAGTACTTGGGGACCCTGTGAAAACTCCAGGTATAGAGCACGGACCAAGCAGACATCATGGAGATTTGGAGGCTGACCCTAAAAAAAACAACGACTTATCATTAAAGACACAGAAACCACCCAAGCAAAGCAAAGCAAAAAATCACTGCAGGCATTGTCTATTGTTCAGAAACAAATCTGTGCTCCTTGGAGAATTCTCTGGGCATTGCCTACAGAGAGTAACGAGGGAATGCCTGGGATTTTAGACCTGGGCCTGGGCTCTGGAATGTGAAAAATAAGTTTGTGAAGGGGCACTAGTAAGAGTATGTGTACTGTAAGCCCTCTGAAAGATTCAGAACCCCCAGGGTTAGGAAGGGCCTTGGTTTTGCAGCAAAGGGTCAATGGTGGCCTCACAGGCAAGGGCTGCTGTCACAAAGAGGAAATATAGACACCATTGCTTTTCAGTGGCAGTGATCAACTGTGAGAATAAAGGGGGCTTGAAGTTGTGCCAAGGGAAGGCCAGGGTGCCACGGATCCAGGTCTGAACTTTGTGGAGAAGAAAACAGTGACAACAGCTAGTGTGCAGTCCGTGTGCTCCAGGCTCCACCTTCAGCTCTTACACACACTGATATATACATGATTCTTTTTAATCCTCTTGGAAACTCTGTGGCAAATAGCAGGACACTGAAGCATAAGGAATTAAGAAACCTGCGCAAAGATGTGCCTCCAGGAAGCTGTGAGTCTCAAATTGGAGAGGGGTGACATAAAAAAACTGTGCTCTAAATAAATGTTTTTTTGTTAATGAATGTATCCATGAACTTGCTCTGAAACACAGGCTCTGACTCAGCAGGTCTGGCAGAAGCCAGCTCTCACATTTCCCCAGTGATGCCTATGCTGCTGATTCCCACATCTACTGTGGGCATCGTGCTCATCAAAAGAGGTCATCCTAAATCATCCATCAAATTGACATACTCTGCTTCCTCTTTCTTCTCTACCATCATCATCTACTTAGAGTTCCCCATGTTAAATAGCACAACCTTGAATCCACTGAATACGTAACGTGATTTGGTCGAGGCTTCGTGATGGCACTATGAAGTTCGTGGGGTCACTCTCACAAATGAAGAAACACAAGGCTTAGAAAGAAGGTCAGCTCTGCCCCAATCACACGGGAACTGTTGACTATGGGTTCAGATCAAGTAAGACTGAGGTTTCTAGGGGCTCACATAGGCCTTGGAAGCTGAGAAACTGTCCACTTCAGGGTTCAAGTAGGGGAATGAGCTAGAAAGTACAGCTGTTTAGGACTGGGATCAGTTGTCTGCCTCTTTCCCCTTTCTTCTTCCTGGGCTTTTCTTTTATTCCCCCAGATACTGCAGCAAGACATCAGCAGTCCTTGGAACTAGCATCTCAGCATAGGAGTGTAGTGTACTTGATTTTCTTACATGCCTATATTTCCTCCTTAAATCATACCGTGATTTGCCTTTATAAATCTCCCCAGCAGTGAGCTCCCTGGGATAATTATGTGAGATATATTTTATAAATATAATTTTTTCATAAGCTCAACTGGAACACAAAATATCAACCTATCTGAGCCCACTGCTCAGTAATAAATCTCCCATACCCCTATAGGTCTGTGGCATTTAAATTTGGACTGTACATTTTACTTCTGTAGTGAAGGCAATCAGAGAAGGGAAACCTCCATCTGGGACTCAGAAGTGGTTCTGAATCACCCTGTCCTTTGCTAAGCTTTGTGAACTTTGCAAGTTGCTAGATTCCCTGAGCCTCAGTTTTCTCATCCATTCAATGGGAGTGCTAACAATACTTGTCTTGTGAGGTTTGGTGAAGATGAATTAAGCTACAAGTATGTGAAATAAGACAGGTAATCAATGAATGTAAACTCTTCTTTTTCTTCTGATAGTAGGGAATAATAACTATGCCGTGATTGGGTTCTCTGTGATTTTTAGCCTCCATCCAAACTACTAGCCATCATTTTTGTAAAACTGCTAACTGCCAGATCAGCCTGTGGCTATAGGCAGAGATGTGCTGTTTCCATCTTTATCATTCAGTTTTTTCTTGAACAAAATTTTTTTTTTTTTTATGAATGTCGCAGGCTCTCTGCAAAGGCCTGCACACCAGCTGTGCTGTCCCTTCTATGTCTAATTCCCTCCTGTTAACCTGCTTGGTCAGCATATCTTCCCATCTCCTTGCTTGCTGTGTTACCAGGAGTGTATCTGTTTGGAAACGACATTTTTTATATTTACTTTAACTGGCTTCATTTGGCAAGGAGGTCTGGGATTTCAGCTCAGGAGAAAACCAGATTTGATTATGTTGCTCTTGTTTACTGTTCTCACTCTTTGCTGTGTATTCCTGGTCTAGTAAGACAGCAAATGCTTTTGTAAGCCAAAACAAAAGTTAAACAAATTCTGTGGGCTCCTGGGCAGCTCCCAGACCACAACTGCTTTTTACAGCATCTCCTTCACATGAAAGCCACACTCCTCACTTTCAAGCACCCACACTTTGGTGAGGTCTGGCAGGTATTTTTTTTGTGAGGGTGTGTTAGGGGGACCCAGAAAGAACCATGCTGTCTCACGCTCCTGTGGACAGAAACTGCTTTCTAGCCAGGCCTTGTGTTGACCTAGGGCACTGCCTCAGTCCATATACCATCCTCTTTAACACCAGCAAGTCTCCTGACCAGTTGTCTCAGCCCTGACCTCCTCCCTACCCCATTCATGCCTACTCATTGCACTGCCTTGCTTAAAATCCCCCTCCCAGCAATATGTGCTTCACTTGTAATTTCAGCAATCAGGAGGCTGAGGCAAGAGCATCCCAAATTAGAGGCTAGCCTGGGATACATAGTGAGTTCCTGTCTCAAAAGTTAAGTAAGTAAGTAAGTAGTAAGTAAGTAAGTAAGTAAATAATAGCTCTCAATGACCCCTTATTGTCCTCTAGAATAAACTCAAACTCTTTATAGGATATAGAAGGTATGACCAAGCTTTCACTTTAAACTTTTGCCAATTCATTCATTCATTCATTCATTCATTCATCCAAGAAATACTGATGTAAGATCTAGTATGTACTAGGCACTGTGCTGAACCCTGGGACTTCAACGATACAAAGCAAATGTGTTTCAGTTTCATGAAGCTTTAGGTCTAGGGTGAAGATCAATAATCAAATAATCCTGCCTGTAAGTGTCAGAAGACAGTGAGTGGTGCAAAGAGGTGACTGACTGTGGGACTATTCGACCTCGTTCCTCACAAAGTGAGGGATGCTGGTGTGGCAATCACACCTGGAGCAGGAGGCACAGGATGTTTGAGGAAGGGCAGAAAACAGGCCTGTGGGCCAGGGGTACAGAGGGCACCAGAGCATCAAGAAGAGGCAGCCTGGGGGAAGCAGAGGAAAGTAGGCTGGCCTGAGGGACTGAGTTTACCCACAGGGCAATGTGAGGTCCCTGGAGTGTATGCACAAATTATGTGACAGCATAATAAAAATGTACTCTGAAAGATGATTCCATTTTGATGGGATGAAGAGTGGATTAGATGGAGATGAAAAATGTGTGTTGGGGGTAATGCCATCTTGAAAGTAGCTTAGAATGAGTGATAGCAATACACTCCAAAGTAGTAGATGTATTTGACAGGAACTTAGCATACTAAATCAGCTGGATTTGTTGGTGGATTAGATGTGGAGTGAATGAGTTGAGGAGAGACCTAAGACTGAATCACCACACGCTCCTAAGAGACAGGTCTTACTTACCTGTGAGGGTGGTCCTGGTTGTTGGACCAATGCCCCTGGGCACCAGCACCTCATGGTACTGCTCTCCTGCTAGGGTGCTGTACACAACCTTGTACTCCTGAACTTCTGCCTCGCTGTTATCCCACTCAAGATCAAGGCTAGTTGCTGTGCGGGAACCAACTCGCAAGTTCTTGGGGGCATCGATCTCTAGAAACAGACAAATATCGCCAACATCACACAAATTATGTACATTTGTGGTACCTCTTGAATACTAACAAACTGTGAGGTGAAAGCCCATGCCTCCTGACATCTGAATGAACCCTGAAGTTGCTCTTTCACCTTTTGGTCTGCCATGACTTATTCCTTGGGCTGGTCAAGGTTTTGTTGAGAATTGAACTTCAATGCATTTTATGCTTCCTCTGTGACCACCCAAGACTTAATAGTAGTGTTCTAGAAACTTGTAAATGAGACAGTTAGTACCAGAAGTTTAAAGACAAAGTAAAGGAGAACCCAATATGAAAAAATCAGGGATAATCTCCTGGTTAAAATAGAATAGATATGACCACCAAGAGAAAAGAAGATGGCCGATTTCAGGATGTGTTTCCTGGGTTTACTTGTATTGATACAACTAAAAAGTTTGTAAGGTGGAAATTCAAGATCTGGATAGAGGATGTGATATAGAGGGAAGAATATGGACTTTGAAGCCAGGAGTCAGGCTCAGTGAGAACCAGTTCTGGCACCTAGAGCAATGGATCATGGACATATTTTTCAACCTCTTAGGACTAAATGTCCACCTCCATGAAAGGTGAAAATAGTGTTGATGGTCAGATTGTTGTACAGCTTAGATGATGCCTGTGGCATGCATGGCATGGTGCCAGGTACAAAATCAAGTGTCCGAGCCTAGCAGGGTTGTTATCTCTGGAGCTCTTCCCAAATCCCCGATGTGTGCTCTGGGGATGCCAAGAGTTCCAAGCAGTGAAGAGGCTACGGGTATGGGGCTTCTCCCACAATGTCAGGGAACTGTTTCCCTTCCTCAGGACTGACCACCTCCATAGGCTGAGAAGGAACAGTGTAAACAACTTGCAGTATAATAAAATGCTGCCTTGAAAATCTGTCACTTAAAAAGTTCCAAATAGTTCTAGTGCCTGTGGCATGAACTGAACTTTGGAGTGGTCCAGTCTTCTGTTCTGAGAAAACCTTAAGTGGACTGTGGAAATTTGCCAATGTCAGGCAAGTACCCCTCAATTGTTCCTGTGAGGACTGCTGTGAACTTGAATCTGTCTGAAAGCAGAAGTTTCCAGTGAGAAGTGATCTGCTTAGTGATGTAAATGGCGATGGGGGGGGGTAGTGAGCAGAAGAATATCTCTGCACCTTATTTTTTTTAAATTCATTTATTTATTTATTTTTAGTTTATGTGTATGAGTGCATTGCCTGCACATACAGAAGTGTACCAGTGTCGTGCAAAGCCCTTGGAGGCCAAAAGAGGATGTTGGATGTCCTAGAACTGCAGTTATGGATGGTTGTTACCTGCCATATGGGTGCTGGGAATCGAATCTGGATCTTCCGCAAGGGCAGACAGTGCTCTTTACCACTAAGCAGCTCTCTAGCCCCTGCCCCTTATTTTTCTGGGAAATGTGAATTATCATACTAGATACTGTATATCCTTGATGTGTTGTATTATTTCTCTAGAAGTCAAATGGACAGAACAGCGTGGGGACCAAAGCATGTGAGGTGAATCTCTACAAGAGGAGAGGTTTGGCAAAGGGTCTGGGGTCTGTGGCCTGAACTGCATAGGGGTTGTATTAGGTACTTTTCTCATTGCTGTGGCTAAATACCTGAAAAAAAGCAACTTAAGGAAGGAAAGATTTATTTTGGCTCACAGTTTGGGGTGTCAAGTGTGAGGCAGCTAGTCAAATTGCATACATCCATAGACAGGAAGCAGGTGATGAAGCCAATGCTCAGCTTACTTTCTCCTTTTTATGCAGTCTGGAACGCCATAGAATGATGTCATTCACATTTAAGATGGGTCCTAATTAATCTAACCACCTCAGTTAACCCAATCTAGAAACTGATTACAGAAATGCCCAGAGACTGGTCTTGTAGGTTGTTCTAGATCCTGTCAAGTTGATAATATTAAACATCACAGGAGTAAAGGCAATTAATCAGGGTGGAGACCTGTACCTAGTGGTCTTCAGAACAACAACAAAAATGTTATCTTGGGAATGTTCTCTTTTTATAAAGGACATAGAGTAGAATCCCTGCCAGTGACTTTTGGTATTCTGGTCATAAGATCTGTGCCTTATGGAAAGGGGGCAGTGTTTTATCTGAAAGGACAGGGTATTTGCAGTGCCAGTAATTCCTAGAATGAGGGCTTGGAAGGTGAGTCTCAGAACTGGGATGAGGTGAAAGCACTTGCTCTCTCTGGTCTTAAAGTCTGACCACTAGGAGGAATAGCTGGAAGACATCCATGCAGGAGGGGACTGAGCATGGCTCTGAAACAGGTCAGCAGACCAGTTATAAGGCAAAGACAGATGGCCAGCTGAGGCTGTCTAGAGGAATTTGGGGCTGTGAACTCTGGTAGTAGCCTGTCTAGACCCTAAAATATCTTTTAGGTGAGATTTTCCTATTTAGAAGTTTCCTGTTGCTCCCTATTACACACTCCTAATTGCAATGGTAGGGGTCTGAGTGTGCTCTGAGTGGTCAGATCATGTAATATTTTCAGTCTTTTTTATTCTTGAAACATATCAAGTTGATTTGTAACTCAGGGCCTTTGAACCAGCTGCTGGTTTTGCCTGGAATGTTCTCTGGATCTTGCATGGCTTAGGCCATATAGTTCATTAAAATGCTGCTTTCTTAGCTGGATGGTCTTAGTCCAATGGAGGTCTCCTTCTGTCCTGTTCATTTCACTTCTCATCACAGAACTCACTATTGAAGTGATCTCATGTGTTTCATTTCCTTTCATTGTCCAGTTCTCCCCACTAGAAGGCCATTCATGTGAAATGGGCCCTTGTCTGTTTATAGCCTCGATGCCAAGAGCAGTGCTTGGCTTCAGCAGATGTTCAATAAATGCAGGGTAAGCAACTGAATGTGTATTATCCGTTTCTCAGTCTTATTTCCTCCCTCCAAGTCTTCAGGAATGGCTTGTTAAATATTTCAGTCGTGGGATTTACAAATGCCTAGGGTGAGGTGGTACAGGAAAAAGAACAGCTGTGACAAGGGCAGCTGGCCTTGCAAAAGCAGAAAGCCCCTGTGCTGTCCACACCCTTGGCTGGGGTGGCAAGGGCATCCAGGTTGAAATTGTAAAAGAACTTCCTGGAGAATCCCAGAGTGGAGACACTGTTAAGGAGGGAGGGGCATGAAACTCTGTGGCTTGGGTGTTTATGTTTGTTACCTGGGCTGCCCTACATGTTGCCTCAAACTGGATGTCTTAGTAGGAAGGCATTGTCTAGAAGCCTGAGATGCAGGTGCTGGCAGCATGGCTTTCTTCTGAGCGCTGCAATGGAGTCTGTGACGTGACTCTCAGCATCTCATGATTTGATGTCTGTCCTGTGACATCTCTTGGCTTGTCTCTGTCTTCATATTCGCATGACATTCTACTATGGGCATGTCTGCCTCTACCCAGAGTTCCCCTTTTGATGAGGTTAGAGTCACAGTGAATTAGAGTCTTCCTTAGTGACCTCATCTCAACTTGCCCATCTGGGAAATTCAGGCTGAAGGCTGCGGGGAGGGTGTGTGTGTCTAAGTCCCTCCAGAGCTCTGCTCAGAGAGACCTCCAGGGAAGGGAGACAGTTCAATTTGTAGAATCCCCCTGAGGCTGCTGAAGTGGGAGGGGCCTCCTGTTTTCTCCTAAATTGACTTCTTTCTAATCACTGGCCCCAGTTTGCTTCCTCAGGGTTCTTCCTCTTTTCAGAGCAACTCTAACATCCCGCTCACCATGCAGGAAGCAAATCTCAGTTTTAATTGCCTGCGCAATTAGTGCACTCCTAGTGTAGAAGCCATCACCTGGAAAAACACTTTGCTTAATTTGAATTTAAGCGGAATTCTGAAATGACTGAGGGCCCTACCACATGGGTCTGGGTACCCTTTCATCATTCATCTGGCACCTGCCAACTCTGGGCTTTAAGAATCTGTGTGCAAAGCTGTGTGTCTGTTCCCACCCCAACTTCCCTCTCCCCTCTAGGAGCCTAAGGGAGCAGGCGCAGGTCTGAGGTGCAGGCTGAGGCTGCAGGGAGAAGCAGCCACCTAACAGCTGCCAATCTGCCAGGCAATCAGAAGCAGAGAATCATGCTGCAGTGAACTGAAACTCAGGGGGAGCTCCCTCTGAGGAGGCAGGATGCTATTGTCTTGATTGGAATTTTCCTGGGCCACCAGCCAGTGCTGCTTCCATCTTGGCGATTTAAACATTAGAGTTTGCCTTTCACCGTGCTGCTCATGAGCCCTTTTCTTCTTTTTTTGCCTCTTCAAACTCCTTATCTGAGCAGAACACAAAGAAACCACTTTACAAACACAAACTATCTTGAAATTAAGAAAAGAATGCAGAACTTGTGGTCCATAGCAGATACGACCAGCCTGAGCAAGTGTATTGTGTGTGTGTGTGTGTGTGTGTGTGTGTGTGTGTGTTGAGGGTTGACCTTGAATTTTCAGATCAAGAAAGGACATTATATGACATCCTTCCTCATGTTCTCACTTGAACATTTTTGCTTAAGTGAAGGAGGATGGATGAGAGATGAGAAGAATTTGATTCCTTATTCTAAGAAGCACACTCGGTCTTTAGGGATCCTAAGGTGTGTTCAGTGAAACAACCCACTGGCTCTATTCCAGGCGGGGGGGGGGGGGGGGGGCCAGAGATGGAGAGAAGACCTTAAAAAGTCTCTATCAGACTACCCTGCCTTCTGAAGCTTGCCAGTGTCCACAGGTGCTTTTAAGGAAAAAGTTCACCAGTGTCTATACTTGCTCTCTTCTATGGGAAGAGTCCCATCAAGACTCTTAGCTACTTTGTTTTGCTGAAGATGGGCTTATTTAAGTGTTGAGCTGAGCAGTGGAGCCTGGTCCCTGCTAGTCTACTCTCCTTTCTCATGGAAAGGCTACCTGTTTCTCCATTACCTGAGTCCTAACCTGAGTAGTCCTCCCATATTCCCTCATAAGCAGACTGGCCCAGATCTTCCCTGATCATTCACTTTGCAAATCTGTTTAGCCACTAAATCACCTGCTACAATTGAGGGCATATTTTGGGGTTCATGTATCTCATTCTTTGTCTTATTTGTCAAAGACTGAAAGCCTAGGTGGAATAGGGGTGCTAGTTATTGAGGGTTTGGGGGGCCCTTTAACTCATTCCATTATATAGCAGGAGCTTGGGCTACAACCCAAAATAGGACATGTGGATTAGTGGCTCTTCAGAAGACACTGATTCTTGGATCTTCCAGATGTTATCAGTTTCCTTTGGTCCCTGGGACAACTTGGAGATGGCAGAGACATTTCTTGACATGTGACTTCCCCAAAGCACAGAGACTAAAACCAACATTTTCTATTTATTGAGACTCCACCACTAACCTGGTCACAGGCTCTTGATGACACAGATAGGTGGCCTGTCCTTTGGGTGGTGCCTGTCCTATGTGCCTAATGAGGAGCCAATCTGCTGAACACTGAGTCAGGATGTCTGGGGTCTGGCTTTTCTGCTCATTGGTAAAGCTCTTTGAGGAAGCTCATTGATGGGGATCACAGCAAGGCAAAAACCAATTATAATGGGCTTAATTCAGCTTCGTAACTATTGGAACTAGGCCACCCACTAGCCTTATTGCTAGAGGTTACAAATGACAGGATGACTCAGGAACCTCAGACAGAAGGTTTGCTGCTGACTGCAGATTGAGCTTTGAATGATGCTGAGGCACATCCGTGGTCATGTAGCCACTGCAGGCTTAGAGGATTTCTGTAACAGTTTCTAGCAAATGACAGTGTCTTAAGGAAGAGGCACTTTCCATGAATTCTCACAAAATTGCCATTTGGGGCAGCAACATGGATGTTCAAATGTCCTCACCACTAACTTGTCATTTCACAAATGGGAGACCAGAGACTCGTAGAAGGAAGGGAGTTCCATTAAGTCACAGATCTGGCTAGCGGTTAGGATGAGAACCTTGCTGTCCTTACTATAGGTGTACTGCTTTTTCTTTGTGAGGGAATATCAACATCAGCAGGAGACCCCCAAACCTCTCACTTCCTTTTTGTAGTCTCTGGGCTAACAAGAATCCCCGGTGCTCATTTCATTTCTTGCATACGCCTCTGACCATGGTGACATCATCAGCTGTCCCACCTCAGCCTCACCTGTTGTAAATTGGGTGCTTGTGGCATCGCTCTCGTTGATCCCTCGGACTGCGCTGACAGACACCTCATAGCGAGAGCCAGGCCTCAGGGCCTGTATCGAATACTGGCTTAGGGGAGGCTGTAGCCTGAAGGTAGTCTTCCCGCCTTCCCCACCCACCAAGCCATATTTCAAGAGAATGAAATCAACTCTGGCTCGAGGTGGGGTCCACTCTACAAAGGCCACAGTGTCAGAGACATCTCGAACCAGGATCTGCGTGGGTCCATCAATTACTGCATAAGAAACAGAACAACATGGACTTAGAAGTAAGCTTTTAGTATCTGTCCTCTTCTTTTCTTCTTATATTAGCTTGGTCAGGCAGAGAGGATGGGTTTCATCACCCCATTTTATAGCTGGGGAATGTGAGACACAGTGAGAGGACTCTCTTCCCCGAAGATGAAGACACATTCATTAGCACTATGGAACTGACACTAAACTGTAGTCCCCTGGTACTTAGTCTCATTTTCCTTTCATTGCTGTAGGTTTCAAATGCTGGCATTTCCCAGTCTGAGCAGGGGAAAGGTACTTACTAGCTTGGGTGACTCTGGCCTATTTCTTTCTGGAGATAATGGGACAGATATCCCGGGAAGGAGCTTCTGATATGGTCCTGGTTCCCAGTTCTCACCTTTATTGAGCCCAGAGGTAAGCTCTTTGAAATAATCTAAACATCTAAGACCTAAACTTGGTTGCTAAAGGGCTCATCATGAGTATTCAGAAGTTGTTCATATCTAGCCTTACTCAGAGCCCAAACCAACCCCGTTGCTGAGACTGTGCTAGGCCAGAGAGGCATTTGCATGTGTGGATATGAAACATGCCTTTTGGGGAATTGCGTTCCTCTGAATAAAAAGGGCCCCAGCTCTGGAGTTGCTTCTTGTGAGCTATTTTCTCCCACAAGTGCCTGTGTGTTTCTGGGCCTGAGGCCACTATAGGTCCACAGGGTGGCCCAGGTTCTCCAGCTCTAGAGATCATCTCTAGAATAAGCTTGTGTAGAGCCAGGGCTGGTGTGACCATTCTCTAGCACATCGTAGAGAAACAGGGAAATCTGATCTTGGGGTAGGGGGCAATGGGAGAACTGGAGAGGCGAGAAAGACGAGGGGAAGAAGGTATATTGGCAAGTAGAAATGTGACCATGTGAACTTCTAGAAAGCTATAATGGCTAACTTAATTCTTGATATTCCATTTTATGGTTCAAATAGTTTATGAGGCCTAGGAACATATTGGGTCCTGGGTTTCCGTGAAACATTTTATGTATTTACAGTAAATTTTCTTTTACTTCAGCTAGTTTAAGTAAATTTCTCTTCCTTGCTCCTTGGGAATTTTGACTAAGACTTATATTTTAATCAGTCCACACTGGACTACTTTCTGCTCTCTCTCCAGAGTGGGGTGTCTACCTCAGGACTGTCCCAGGCTGACCTTGAGTTCCCTCAACCTTTCAAAGTTGACCACTCCTCAGCCACCCTACCTTCAGCCCATTGCTGTTTTCTATTAAGCAGCTTAGGATTTTTTGGTCTAGTATCTGCTAAAATGAAAATTACTAGACTGTTTTGGTGCTTCCTGGTTTGGAGTTAAAATGAAGTTCTATTTTTTGTATTTGAGGTAGTCATGTGATTTAACAGAAAGCATCCTGCACCTCACAGTTTTAGGTAACTCAGACCTTTGTTATTTCATTGAATTAAATGATGAGGTAGCCAAATAGCCTCCTAGCTATGGCATAAGTACAATACAGCAGATACCCAATGAGTATTGAGTAAATGGAGTGAATGAATGAGCCTCTTCATCCATGAGAACAGGGATGGGAGAGCATTTCAGTGAACCGGAGCTTTTTGAGTTGGGGGAAAAGGCATCAGGGAAAATCAGATAACCACATAAAGCTTTTGTCCTTCAGCTCTTTAGATCCAAAACCCTAATCATAATAGATTGACCATATTAGAATGTGATTATGTAGCACAGAGGGCTCTAACTGCAGGAGGTCTTGTATTTGCATTCATAAAATGGCCTGCCTGGAAAAAGCCAGTCTGAGTGCAGATGAGGATTCAGAGCTTCACAGGAGGGGGTTGGTGTAGGTCAGACCTTAGCAGAAGGAAATAATTAAATGATTGTTTCCTAAAACCAGCAGACAGGGTTGGGTGCCAGCCATCTTTTCTGCTGTACCCTTGGATTCTGCCCTTTGGTTGGTCAATTGGTAGTAACGTCCTGTTCCAACCAAGGCAGTAGCATCTTGCTTTCAATTCTGGCCCTAATTTCTAAACAAACACAAGTCCTTTCAAAAATTGGAATGCATATGGAATGGGCTTTTTTCATCTTTCTTTGACTTTTTATATGATGCCAAACTATTAAGTAGGGCTGCTTTTCTTAATTGAAAGCTGCCTAGCTTTAATATGAATTTCTAAATCTAGAGCTTTTAATTTTAATTTTAAGGGACTTTCAAACAAGAAAGTGCTTCAAATTTTATAAAAATTGATTAGGTTATAAGATTGAGACAGGGTTGGGCTTGCTCCTTTAAGTATCTTCAATACTTTGGAAGTAAAATATTCAACTGTAACGATCTCTCTCCTCTTGTGAAACATTGTCTCCTTCTAGCCTTTTGTCTTCTAACGCTTTCTTAATGTCACTCATAGGGATGATTTGGAGAAAGTTCATATCAAAAGTATTATATGCTTGTATCAAATGTTGAATCTTCAGATTCTAGCATAACCTCAGGGGAACAGATCCTTGGCCCTCTGGTGAGTTCTCCAAAGCATCTTGGTTTTACCTTATGGTGGTTTGAATTAGAAATACCCTTCCATATGCTCAGGTGTTTGAACACTTAGTTCCCATTTGGTGGTACTGTTTGAGGAGGTTTAGGAAGTGTGGTATTGCAAGAGGAAATATGTCATTGGGGTAGACCTTGAGAGGTCATAGCCTCACCCCACTTCCAGTTCACTCTTTGCTTTCTGTGTGCATTGAGGATGTGACCTCTCAGCTTCCTGATCCAGCCACCATGCCACTGCTGCCATGCTGTTTCTTCCATTATGGAGCCTAACCCTCTGTGACTGTAAACCCAAGTAAAATTTCCTCCTTAAGTTGCTTTTGGTCATGGTGTTTGAGCACAGTAACAAGAAGGCATTTCTTATGAAGCTTGCTTAGCTTATGACAGGACTTCCCCCTACCTTTAAAAACACAATTTTAAATGGCATCCACAATGTGAAACAGATAAAAGCAGAGCTGCCCTGATTGGTGGCATTGGAGCAAAGTAATTAGAGGCATGGGTCTTCCCCTGATCCTGAGCTCCAGGTGTGGCCTTGGAATCCTGGTGCACAAATGCAGCATAAGCTAACGCCATAGTAGTTTTAAATCAAGCTTTTCTACACTGATCCTTAGTCTCATGATCTGATACTTTTTAGTTTGGATATAAATAGCAAAGTGTGAAGCACTAATCGATAATCATCACTTCACTACCTAGTACTGTGGTTTCTTTTTCTGTTCAAGTCAGTTTTCTGTTCTGGACTTGAGACTGGCTTTCTAGGGTGCCAATTACTATTTATGAAGAAGAAAACTGTTTGATATTCATCTATCTCAGTTTTTGTTACTGACAAGGAAAGTCGCTTGAGCTCTAAATCTTAGCTTTTCCATCAATAAATGAGAACCAAAAATAAATAACTTTTGAGCAACTCTTGGTGAGTCATACACATGTGCATTGCAGTTACTAACTTATTCCACTGAAGCTGAACAACCTTTGTTAGCTAAGGGAACACTAAGGCAAAATATGACACAATTAATGAATTGATCTTGAAAATATAATGATTCTGAATGAGATAAACTGTGGGCATGAAATAATAATCAACTTGAACAATCACCTTGCAGTGATTAAACCCTGCCTACTGGTTTCAAGTAGTTTGTCTCCTACTGCTTCCACTTTCAGTATTGCACTCATCAGTCTAGTGATAACTATTTTGTATGCTTTATATTTAATTTAATCCTCATATCAACCCAATAAAGGTAGTATTGCAAAACAGATGAAGGTTTGGAAAAGCTTAGTTGAAAATCTCCAAATCTTACAGTAGGTGAGAATGAGTATGCTCTTGCTGTTACAAAGTTCATAACAATAGGAGGTTAATGACTGAAGTGTCTTAGAGAATAAGTAGAGCCCACTGGGAATTTTAACAGAGAGTTTCCTCCATGGAACTTTCCTCAATGTCTACGCTTCAAGGATGAGAAATACGGAGTGTGATGAGCTAAGCATTTGGTGCAGTAGGTCCATATCTGTCCTGGTTTGTTTCTTCATTGCTGTGACAAAATACTCTGACCACTACCAACTTGGGGAGGAAAGGGTTTATTTAGCTTATATATCCTGGGTCACAGTTCATCCGGGAGCCCAAGGTAGGAACTCAGGGCAGGAACCTGGAGGCAGGAGCTGGAGCACAGGCCATGGAGGAATGCTGCTTACTGGCTTGCTCCCCTGGCCCCTGCTCAGCCTGCTTTCTTATGCAACACAGGCCCACCTGCCCAGGGGTGGCACCACCCACAGTGGGCTGGGCCCTCCCACATCACTCATCAAGAAGATGCCCCTCAGACATGGCCACAGGCCAGTCCAATAGAGGCAATTCCCCAACTGAGGCTTCCTCAACCCAGGTGTGTCAAGTTAACACTAAAGCTATCTAGCACAATCTCCAAGTTCCCATAGCATCTCAGATCTGAGGCATGCTAGCATCTTCTACATGTCCAATCTTTGCTATTCTTTGGGCAGTTTTTTGAGTAGAGCTGGAGGCACTGACCAGTGGAGACGCTGGCCGAAGTAGGGGGACTCCGGGCTTGTTCCTTTAGTGCCACCACATTCACAATGTACTCCTCCCCAGGCTTCAGTCCCGTCTGGTTAAAGGAGGTAACATCGCTGGGGAGCTGAGCAATCACCCCTCCTTCATTGTTCTGGAGAGTAGGGAGATTCAGAGAAAGCAGAAATGTCACTGGGAGAGAAATACAATGAGAGAGAGATAAAGGAATGAGATGCTGGAAATTAAAAATGAGACTAAGTCAGTCTCCTTATGTGACAGCCAAATGCCTGGGGCCAGGAATGATATCTGAAAGGTTCAATAAAAACCAATTTTCAAGAACATTTCTCCTGAGCTTATTGACTTTGCCAACAAAAACTAGTCATGAGATGATGTGGATTGACTCTTGCCAAAGATTACATGTTTGCTGGTCATGCTGGTCATGATTAACATCTATCATATTTTTTTGCATCTATTGTGATGAGCAAGTATGTCCTTGACTGTTTATAAAAAAATGGTTGGAGGTATGTGTAGGAACATCTTTAGACACACAACATACATACCATATTTCAGTCTAAGTCATTACCCTAGGTTTTTTGTTTTTTAAGCCTGGAGCTATTATTTTGTTCTACTTGGGGTTTCTCATGGTACTACTCTGGGTGCAAATTTGTCAGTGTCTTGTTTCCCCTTCTCAGATGAGTTAAGACTCAGTGTCACACCATGAAACACAAAGAAAAGAAAAAAATAACAAAGAATAATAGAAAATGAGTAGAAGAGGAAATGAGAAAGAAATTTGATCATGTTGGGTGCAGGACCTATTATCAATTTTTTATCTATCTATCTATCTATCTATCTATCTATCTATCTATCTATCAATCTATCTATCTATCTATCTATCTATCTATCTATCTATCCATCTGTCTATCATCTATCATCATCATCTATGTCTATCATCTATATCTATATATCATATATCCATCCATTTATCATAATCTATTATCTAGCTCCATCTTTCTATTACCTATTTATAGTAAATTGTGTGTGTGCTGTGAAAATAGAGGAGGTGAGAGACCCTTTTATAACCCTGCCATTCTTACACGCTCTTTGGTCTCTATTTATGTCATTGGACTACTCCATATATAACTTGGAGCCATGCTTTTATAAATCAGTGTGATAAATGCTCCCTCCAAGTGGCTTCAACCTATACATCTTAGCATCTATTCCATGCAGCGGTGTATTTGATCTTGGCATGCCCTGACTAGCTCTTCTCTCATTCAAAGTTTTATATATTGTATGTAAAACAGGAGAATCTGACAATGCTTTTGTAGTTTTTGTTTTGTTTTGCCTGAGCAGCAGGGTGACATAATTCTTTCTGCCTTATTATAAACTCAGTTGCATGCAATTCTTTATTGGCCATTTAACTCAGATAAGACATATCCTAACAGATTTGTATAGAGCATCTGTTTAGGTGTATTTAGCTTACTGTGATATGACTACATCTGGAGTAAAGGCTGAAACTCAGGTTTTTGTCTTACACCTGGCACTAACTGGGTAGATGATGTTGGTCTCCATAGCCTAAAAAAATGAAGTGTCATACTCCATGAACTTGAAGGTCTTTTGGAACTACAACAGTCAAGGCTCCAAAAATTTTGGAGTAAAAGAATAGTAAAACCACAGTCTAGTAAGCTGAACGTGTGTCAGTTGTCATTAAGTCTGATGAATGACTCAAAAAATGCTCTTTGATGGTGAAGGATGAAGACAGGAAAGGAGTGCACTGAACCTCACACTCATGAGTGGTGTTTAGAGTCTATGAGCAGAGTTAACAGATGCTAGGAAACTAGAACCAGGCAGGCAAAGCTGGCAACTTGGAACTAGTTTTGGCATTTATAAAATAAAATATTTCTTTAAAGAGTGGAGAAGACTCAGGATACTTTTAAACTCACGAGCTATAATAATGAATTTGTTTAAGGAAAATCTTGTTTAATAGTTTAGAAATTCATTTTGACTAATTCAGGCAAGCCAAGGTATTCTGTTTTACATCTCTAACCTTTAGAGGTTAAAGTCTGCAAGTTAACTTTCTGTATATCTAGCTGTGAGCTGATTGTGTGACTGGTTTTATTTGGCTGTTCTTTTTGAGGGCTCAGTTTTCATGCTCACTGCAATCATGGCTTTCCAAATCCTAGAGCTCTCTTAGCAAAGAGCTGGATCTGGAGGCTGTTTCCTACACGCCCCATCATCCAAGAACAGTTGTACTTGTCAGACAGTCCTTGGGCTTTTGTGTGAACAGTGTTTTACAGCCCAGATACTCACTCACAACATGCCCTTTTTGTATCTTTAGTGACTTTGGCAAAGATATCGGACAGCACCATCTTTACTGCCCTGATTCTAAGTTAAGGGTAGAAATACGCCTACTCGGGCTTTTGAGCAACTTACAGTTGAGTGTTACCTTTGGAATGAAGCTGATCTCCCACCCATCGAAGGAGAATGAAAAGGGCTCCCACTGCACCTCCACGGTGGTCTCTGTAATCGTCTTGAACTGTAGCCCTTGAGGAGTGGAGAGATCTGGAACACAGCAATGTGGTAGCAATGTCATGGCCATCCCTGGTAGGGACAGAGAGCGCCTTCTGGTGCTTTGTCTTGTGACCTCCCTTGGTGTCCTGGGTATGAAGATATGTGGTGGACAATCCTAATCCTGCTGCAGACTGAATCCCAGTGGCAGGGCCAGCCTGCTGCACCGTGACCCCGGTGTTCAGTGTGGGTGAATATATGAGCAAACTTAACAAATATAATCCTTTTTTTGTGTGCTTTCTATTACATAATAGAAAATGTGAATGCTAAAATATAAAACTCATGCTTTCTTTTTCTCTTGGCATTAAATGAAAACTTTTTTTTAGAGGACTCAAATACTATCTTTAGCAGATGTACAGGATTCCTGGGAGGCTGGTAAGAGTGTTCCTATTTCACAACCAGGAAAAGAGAAGCCCAGAGAAAGCTGTCTGGAGATGTGTGGCAAGCCAGCTTCAGAATAAACCTGGACATGTTCTTGAGCATCCGAAGTTGAAAGTGTTGAGACTCTAATCACTAAACCTTGGATGGTCTACCTGAACTTGCCACTTCACATGCACAAAGGAAGCAAAGGCTTACACAAAGAACAGTGGCAGATACCAGGGGCTTTGCTTCCTTTCATTTTCTCCGATTTCCTCCATTGTTCCTCCCCTTCTCACCTCACTTATCTAATTTCACTTTCTGTTCCATCGCCTTTTTCCCCTCCCACATCCCTTCCTGCCCACTCCCCTTGCCCCCAAACACACACACACATACACAGGTTTAGTGAGGTGGAAGTATGCTTGTTCTGATGGAGTTCCAGTCACCAGCCCTGACATATGACAGCATGACTTTTCTCAGTTCTCCAGGGAGCCTGCTTCCATGTTATTGCTGCTAGTGCCATTGTAGAGGACAGCTTATCTTTTCCGTGGAGAGGTTTCTCTGCTTCTTGCCAGAAAGGTGGGGCTGATTCTGAAGCTACTTGAAGCCCTGTCAGGTGAGTTTACATGATTTTTCTCTTGTCACCTGGGAGCGTGCCTGCAGGGATGCCCTGAATTGGCATAATAAACACCATAGGAGATGGAAACCTCATCAGGATATTTGCGTGACTCTGAGAAGGAGCCACTTAGTGGGCCAGGCACTTAGGGATGTGACTCATCCCCCAGCAAGGTGAGAAAGCAGCAGATGGTGACCTGCCTCCACACTCTCACTGCAGATATTTAAAACTAGTTCTCAGGCACCAGAAGAATTTTTTTTTAAAAAGGTCAAATATAAACAGAGATAATTATAGGCAGATTAACATACTCAGCATCCATGGGGGAGTCCAATATTATCATAGGACTTTTGTCACCTGAAAAGTAAGTGAACAAGATGACTTCCTAAGTGTGTGTCCTCTAGTCCCAGTCCTTGCATTCAAAATTCACTTCAAATCCTTGGCCTTTATGAGGCCCTCAAGGCCAACTCTTTACCTTGACCTTTTTGTTTGCTCAAATTTTCTTGCTTTATTACTGAAATGCCATTCATTATTTGAGATCTACATAGAATGGGCTCAAATCTCTTATTCCTAATTTGATGATAAGTCCTGTTTACAGAGGGGAGGGCTTTCTGAACTCTCGGGGTTTGTATCTTCACCGGCATACTTCCTGTTCCAGTCTCTTTTCACTGCTAGTCTGTATCATTTTCATCCCTCGCCTCCTTTGGATGTTCTCTTTGTGGAATTTAGCCAGGCACAGTCCCTTTTCCTCCATATCTCCATAAGGTACACAGGCATCTGTGAGTTTGCTGGATCTGCAGGAGATTTGATATAGCAAGAATGCATCATGCCACCCGACTACTCAAAGTTCTAAAATGATATAAATTTTTATAACAATTTAAGAATTCAGAGGTATACAAAGAAAAGGTATAACATTTTCTTTAGCCCTCATTCTACTCTTTGGCAGATTCAGCGTTACTAACTGGTAAGCCATCTCATATATTTTCTATGCTTAGGTAAAAATATAGATACAGACCAAGAGGGATTTTTTCCTATTATAGATAAAAAGAAAAATATATGTCTGAAAATTCTAAATTATGGAGATAGTTTAGCTTGCTCTGTGTGTCTATTTCTCTTCATTATTTCTCCATTGAATCTCTCTGAATTATGTTCTAGAACCTCAACTTTTATAATTAAAAGGACCATCAAGATATTCTGCTTAAACAAAGGCCATAAAGAAATTATGCCACCTCTTTACACGAACTGGATGTTGTCAGCTGTGGTTTAAAATAAATTTTTTTTCTCAGTCTACTTAGCACTCACCATCTGTAACATACCATTCAGTCCTTGCTTATTACATGTGCTATTTTTCATCTCCTAGTTTTGACTCTCTAACTAGATTCAAAGTCTGGATAAGCCTGATACTTCTCTTGACTTCCAATCAGAGTCTAGCTTATAACAAGTCAGTGCTCAAAAATTAAAGAACTTTTTGTTCTCTTGGTCCTAGAATTAATGGATGCTGCTTGAATTCGGAAATTCTCTTCATCAGAAGTGCCTTTTAAAGATGGACCCTTTTCTGAGTGGGTCATGTCCAAAGCCCTTGCCCCCAACAGCAAACTACTGCAGGCATCCCTAAAGAATTAAGAAAAGACATTACTATCATGAATGCCCATGATCTCATGTAGGAGAAAATAAAAATGAAGCAGGACAGGGGATGGTACGTACGAGTGGCCACCTTGGCAGTGATGGGAAGGCTGAGGATGTTGCTAATGACAGCATAGACGCTGATGTTGTAGGTGAGACCTGGCTCCAGCTCCGTGATGGTGACACCACTCCAATCTCCAGGCACCCGCTGCTGGAGCTGGAGGCCCCCCAGGGCCGTCGGCTGGTAAGAGATCACATATTCCGTCACTGCCATCGGCCCGTCCCATTCCAGCTCAATGGACCTGTCGCTGATACCAGCCACTCGCAAGTCCTCTGGAGGGGCAACTACCAGGAGGCAATACAGACAGCATGAGCTCAGAGGATTGCCTTTCCCAGCCTGGACTGAACTTTCTTGCTCAAATCTCACCCCTTCTCCCACCAATGCCATGTCTAGAGTTCTGTTGAGCTCCATGGATTGAGTGATTTGGAATAGGTTCTCACTTTTTTCCCTTTACTGAGTATCCCAGTCTTCATCAGGCCACAAATTAGTGTGGTACTGAAGCTGGTCCTTTACTGCCTTGTGAAAGCTCACTGTCAAGGAATTTCATACGGCTAGTCCTAAGAACTGCCATTGTTGAAATGCTAAAAGCTACAGTTAAGTGAACTGCATTTAAGATGCAATTGATGATTTAAGACCCATCATTTTAAAATAATTTCACTGCATTTTATGATAACTATGCCTTTAAGGTGGTTTTTGTGTGTTGCATCTCTCCTACAAATATTACATAATTGTGTTCTGTTGTATATCTGTTCCCAACTCCATGTTTAATGATGTCCCATTAGTAGCTTGAAACTGGCCATAACGAAAGTATTTATAGCATGGTAATGTGCTAATGCTATGAATGAGGGCATATTTGTTTGTTTCCTTTTAGAGCACCAGTTGGTAGATGTTTCACAGCATACCACTGGCTAAACTTTGGTAGTTTAATAGATTACTGCCACCAGATTGTCCTGGTAGCCAGTATCTGATTTGGCAAGTGAAAATGAAAACTAAATATTGATTTTCTTGAAAATTATAAGTAGTCAAACAGCAAGTCCTGCATCTCATGGCTTTATGAAGACCCTCAGTAGTCCTTTGTTATAGTGTTTTCCTTTTTAAAGGACAACACTTAGGTTTTAAAACAAATGTAACTTGTTTCAAACTAATTTTCAATAGCTTTGACCTCAGAGACCATGATCAAGAAGCATTCTTGAGCGCGATGCTTTTCTCTCTTGTCCACCTTCTCAAATGCTCTTCAGAGCTACCAAAGGTTAAACCATATTGAAATAGCTTTTCACGTAGAGTTCCCTTGGGAAGGGAGGATTCACCGTAGTGTGGACAGCAAATAATTGAACCTTTAAGACTAATTAGGAGGTTAACTCTAGTATGTCTGTAATTGGAGCTGCTCATAGATTAAATCAAAGATCAGACCAATATTTAAATGGTCATAATTAACTTACATGTTCATATGTAGTGGAGATTCCGGTTGGTTTAAGCGTTGTCATTGGTTTTGAATTTATCCTTTAAGTAATGTCAAACTTTCACCTTTACAAGTGAGGAGGCCCAGGTCAGGGGCTTCTCATGGGAGAACATGTGAGTGAGAGAGATGAGTGCCTGCCTCCTTGTGCTCGTATGAAAAACCTCAAAAACTTGGCTAAGAGAAATGAGGAACCCTTTAGCTGATCTCAGATTCACAAGAGAGAGAGAAATAATACCACATATCTATAATGCTGGATATTTGCTTTGTTTTTGCCCCAAACCATTCACTACAAAAAAAAATCTAGAAAATAAATCTCCTTGTTAGAGAAGGCAAATATTAATTGGAACAGACATCTTACACTCACTTTTTATTTAATTAATTATTTTTTGTTGTTCTTGTTTTTCAGACAGGGTCTCAGTGTAGTTCAGGCTAGCCTTGACTATGAAATCCTCATACTCCTCATCTCCTTGACTGCTGAGATTATAGATGTGTGCCACCATACCCACATGGCTTAAAATTCACTCTAATAAACTTTCAAAACTAAAGGAGAGCAAATGAAATTTAATTAAGCCCTCAAATGATATTTCATAAGATTATACTGTCTATACTGCCGATATTAATAAGCTGAAGTGTGCTAGAACTGTTAGGCCAGGCTATGTGATATGACTCCTGAATCAAGAGAAGAAGAGTGAGACAGAGAACCTGCCTGTACTTGACATGACATGATGAGTCCTTATTATGCAGCGGGCAAAATGCTGACCGCTTTATCCCCGGTTATCTCGGGCTCCTACCAACACTGCAGGATGGATTTTATTGTTGCTTTTAATTTATAGATGAGGAGACTGGGGCACACAGCAAGAAAGCACCGAAGTGAGTATTTGAATCAGGCACAATGACTAGAGAATTTCTTAGTCAAACCATAATTTCAGATTATACTTATGAAGCATTTCAGTTATAAAGCATACCAGACACACCATTCAACTAATTTAAAAAGTTCTTTTATCACAGGCCTTGGATATAGCTCAGGTAGAGGTCATTTAAAATTTTTTAAATATTTTATTTGTTATTTTTTATTTTATGTGTATGAGTGCATTGCCTGCATGAATGTAAGTGCACCTGTGTTGTATAATGCCAGCAGAGGTCAGAAGAGGGCATTGAATCCCTTGGAACTGGAGTTAGAGACAGTTGTTAGTTGCCATGTGGGTGCTGGGAATTGAACCTGGGTCTCTGCAAGAGAAGTCAATGCTCTTAACTACTGAGCCATCTCTCCAGCTCCTAGAGATAATTTTTTAAAGTTTTGTTTAGATTTATCTATTTTTATTTTATGTGTATGAGTGTTTTGCCTGCATGTATATAAGTATACCATGTGTATGCAATGCCCACGAGGCCAGAAGAAGGCGTCAGATCCCTTGGAGATGGAATTATGTTAGTTGCCTGTGGATGCTGGGAACCAAACCAGGGTCCTCTGCAACAGTAGCCAGTACTCTTAACGGCTGAGCCATCTCCAACCCTAGATACAATAGTCTTAACGTTACAAAAGATGGCTGAGTTGAGGGATATGTCAAAACTCAGGGACTGGTCAAATACAGATCTCCTGTGTTTAGAGTTCTCTTCCTCTAAAATTCACAGAGCAGTATAGAGACTGCACCTGGGGTCCTCTTTCATTTCTACACAGCCCTTCCAAGAAAACTCCATGAGGAATACTTCAGAAGATCTACACTGGTGTTCATTCTAGAGGTTTTCTAGTGTTTTCTCTTGTGAGTCAACAGCACATTTGTTCTGAGTTTCTTTTGTAGACCTTCTATCAGTGACAAGAACGGTCATCCCAAATTTTAAGTCACCAGCAACTCTTCCTGCTTGTGGGACAAATATTCCTTTTCTTATTCTTCCTTCTAGAAAATGAAGCCAATGATGACAATACAGTGCTCTAAGTAGAGCACTTTGCAATTTTAAAATAAAAAAGAGAATGGAGAAAATTTCATCTTGCCATCTTAGCCTGCTGGTAAGCACTGCCTTCACATCTGACTGAGAAAGCAGCACCTGGTGTCTGTCACCTGCGGTGGAGGTACTCTGCGAGCAATGGGCCAATGAAGGTGTCAGCAATCATTATCAAACAAAAAATGATATTGAACTTTAAAGCAAACTGTAAAAGCGATGCATGCTTTAGTGCAATGTGTTTGTGGTGGGTGCAAAGCATTTGTAATCTTATGCTCTTTGGAGCTCTAATTTTGAGACTCGGGGGAAAAGGAAATGCTAGAAAGGACGAGACTGGCTTAAGGAATCAGGGCTGCTAATGTCCAAAGCAGCCCTGCTGCTTACTTTTCCAATCTTGCATCACTTTTGCACTTAAGTGATGAGAGTATAGGCAATCAGTTCCAGGGTGCGTTTTGCTCCAAAAAGCAAATGGTTTCAGGGGCTGGAGGTTGGGCAGCCTATCCTGACAGAGTCAAAGAATAACACTGATGAATCTCCACAGAGCTCACTGAAGTCCAGTGAAACAGATGATGGTTGTTTGGTCCTGCTCACTCCTAGGGAGTTCTCAACAGCTCACTGGTCAGTGCCTGCACTAACCACCTGCATGGGACAGATGTGCACAAATGACTCGGAATATTTCTCACTTTTGAAAAAAACATTCTTTGACAGGGCTCAGCATTTACATCAAAAGACTGTTTCCTTGTGTATTTGACTTGAAAATTTTTATTTCTTAACTCTGTTTGGCTTCACAGCTCAAAGAGGATTAAAGAGTGCTAGAAGTTGATGGGTGACCTGGGCTCTCCTTCTTACTCTGGTCTTAATGAGCTGTTTGGCTCTAGGAAAAATCTCTCTGTCTCAGTGGACTGCTCTTTTTTCAAACCATAAAATGAGAAGTCTTGATAGGTCTTTCTAAGGCTTTTTTTAAAGTGCTCACACTCATGATTTTTTTGTCCTATTATCTTTACATGAGTAGTTTCAAGGCAGAAAGCCTCGTGGTATACCATGAGAAAAGATCAAGGACAGGAGTCAAACATAGTGACCTTGCTGTCACTGTTCAATTGTACTGAGTGCTGGGATGTAGGGAGGCTCATAATGAAATCCACATAGTGGGCAGCTGTTCTCCATATCCTGCCAAAGAGAAAACAGTGACCTATAAGGAAATCTACTTTGTGGCTGTCCATGTTTTCACCTTCCTGACCTTCTGCCCTCTCTCTGCACTTCTGGAGGCAGTGGGAGCAGTTGTGTTGTCTTGTGTGCACCTGACTAGAAATGTCAAACAGCGAGTAAACAGGCCCCACTCCTACATCATCTTCACAAGCAGCAAGTGAAGTAGCACTTTAGATAATGGCCCACAGCCCTTTTTGGGAGGAGACCTGTGGCATTTGGTTTTAAAGGCACACGTTAAAAGGAACACCTCCGGCCATGAGAGGTGGCTCCAGGGTTGCTATAGAAACAGATGGAGATTATGCAACTGTCCTTCCTCACATGCTTTGAACCAGTAAAGATATTTATCTGGGTCTTCAGAAGTCTTTCTCAAGTAGCACAGACCTAATACATTAGAGGGAACATGTGTGCATGGTTTGGACTTTACCCAGTTGTAGCTACATTAGCAGCGATGCATCTTGCTTGGTATAACCAGAGGGCTTTATCTTCAGATCGATTTGAACACTGGATCAGATCAAGAATTTTGTTTGCAAATGGGCCTGACCCCATTGAAAAGCATGCCTAGAATGTGGCAAGTATATGCAGACTTACAAACATTGTTCTAGTAAGAAGCATGAGTGCTATGGAGTGGCATTAATGTAGCAAGGGCCAAAGCTGACCCTTAGCATCCTCTGGATGGGGCTTCTAGCAGCCTCAATGTGCTTGGTAGGAACAAGATTATGTTTCAGGCTTGCTGTCCTGCAGAAACTGCCTAGTGCTTTGGGTTCAGAAACAATGAGGGTTAACTGGCATCAATTTTGCTTTGAAACAGTTGGTATAATGACTATATTTTTAGAAAAGTATTCCAATTCAGTAAACAAAACTGAGAGATTAGATGAAATAATTGAATATAGAAAAACTATAGCATAGATAAAAACACAAAATATTTCTTTGTAAACAGTGAATTATTGTTTTTTTTTTTTTCATTTCGTTATTGCCATTGATCCTTTGAAGGAATTTAATTTGAAGTCACATGTACAGGATGCTGAAGAACAGGAGGCTGGGGAAACGGACTTCTCAGGATTTGTCCCTTAGAAACTCCTAGAACTGTCAATTAGAAAGTTTAAAATTTTGTGAGTTCGAGGCCAGCCTGGTCTACAATAGTGAGTTCCAGGACAGCTGGGGCTACAAGGAGACCCTGTCTCAAAAAGACAAAAAAAAAAAATGTTGTTTGTTTTTATTTCTTAAAAATTTTCCAGGGGGGAGGGTGCTCTGAGTTCATACGGAAAGTATCAGTTACATAATCTATACCTTTTAAAGCACAAATGTATCAGCTACAGTTACTGATTTAGTCAGAGGAGGATGAGCAATAGGGAAATAATGAAAATAACCTGAGCTGAGAGAAAAAAAAAACATTAAAAACACCACCCTCCCTAGTGAAATATTGCCATCTTTCTCACTGTTGGATTTAGATCTTGGAGCTCCCCTGCAGGGTACCTGGTTTTTCCACAGTGTAGGCTACATATGGGGCTGGTTTCTGTGTGGGCTATAATCATCTGGAACAAAATTAGTCATATCTGTTTAATATTCTACATTAATTGTTAGAATGTCAATTTATGATTTCATAAATTAATATCATATTATAATCTGTAGGATAACCAGAGAATCAAACACCATCATCTCTCAAGCAGCAATGTAAAAGGAAATACTTCTGTAGTCCAGCAATGGGTGAGAGATGTTTTTGAGCAAGTGGAACTCACGGAACCCCATGAATTAAAGACCAGCTTTGCTTGGAGTGGTCTATGACCTTACTCTGCCTGCTGTGATTTGTATATGGTTTGTGTATGTCACTCAAGGCTTCATGAGTTGGAATTTAATCCCCACTGTGAGTTATTAAGAGTAGAAACTTAGTTTGACAATGGTGTTTGCAGGTAGGGTCTTTGGGAAGTGATTCAGACAATAGAGCTTCCATGACTGAATCCTGGCAGCTTCAGAAGGAGAGAGATGGAAGAGACGTGCATGCCCTCTATCTCTTGCATGTGACCCTTTGCACAATTCTGGGACTCTGTTGGCAGGAAGGCTATCACTAAACATGACCCCTTGATCTTGAACTTCTGGAACTCTGAACCCCAGTGAAACCTCTCTAGCGCTCGCCTAGGCTATGGCTTTGTGTTACTGGCAAAGGAGAACCAGCTAATAAACCACCCATTACTATTTTAAGAGTAGGCTGTCCTCATTATTATCATCATGGACTTTGTTCATGGCTCAGGGACAGAGATCCAGCGCACAGCCTGAACTTGACCTTTCCGGATTTCTCTTTTAATCTGCCTCACCAATTGTTTTTAACTCCAGAAACCATCAGTCTTGGAAAGCAAAGGAGAGCAATGGAACTGGTATTATTTTGCCTAAAATTTCCCTCCTCTACATCTCCTCTCCCCAGCTAACTGGAGGTATTCCCAGAGAGTTCCCCTTCCTACCTGCTGAGCAGTCAGGGCCCTGGTAGCCCTCCTCACAGATGCAGATCCCCTCCTGGCAGTGTCCTCGCCCGCTGCAGGCATTCAGACACCGTCGCTGGCTGCAGTCCTCACCAGCGTAGCCCTCCTGGCACAGGCAGGTACCATTGGCACATCGCCCCTTCCCTGAACAGTCCTCAGGGCACCTCAGCTCCCTGCAGTCCTCGCCTGTGTAGGGCTCTTCACAGACACATTCCCCATCCACACAGAGTCCCCGGGCACTGCAGTCTGTAGGGCATCGGAGTTCGGAGCAGTCATCCCCGCTGTATCCACTGTCACAAACGCACTGGCCATCGACGCATACACCCCGACTGGAGCAACCCTGAGGGCAGTAGGGCTCTGAGCAGTTCTTGCCAAACCAGCCTTCATTGCAGATGCAGCCACAGGACTCGAAGCTAAAGTTGCCATGGCCACTGCAGTGAGGAATATAGTCCAGTTGTCCTGGAATGGCCAAGGAGAAGGTCAAAGGCAGCAGGGACCTCTCATAAATGGTGCTGGGGAGGGGTGAGCAGAGACCTTACTCATCCTTTGATTATATTGTATTGTTGAGAGTTAACCACAACATGGTTTTGTATAAATTCAACTTAATATTTTCACACAGTGTCATTGCCCAAGCCTAGCACAGTGCTGGGGGCAAAGATAGATGAGACTAGTCCCTTGCCTTTTGGAAGTTCACCTTCAGCATATCTTACCTTAGGTTCCCTAAAAGTGACTTAATGGAAAGTGCTCCCAGGAGAAACTGGTGGGATAGTAGGGTGCGGTAGTTGATTGGGAAGGAAGGTGGTCATGCCAGAGTGTGAGATTAAGCAAAGTCCCAGGGAGAGTGACCCGGTACAATCATGCAGTGTTCTAGAAACAGCGCAGGCCACACCTCCTCATGAGTTAAGGTCCATCTCCAGGGTATGTAAGTTCCAGGGCCTTCTTTCTGTCTTTGACTAGGCCAGGGGTTCCAATAAGGCTAAACCTATTCCTCTGACAAAGGCATCCAGGTGCTGCAGGAGAGAGAGGGATTGGAGGGGATGCAGGCTGAGCACTGGACCTGTTACGCAGAGGGAGGACAGATGTGTTACAACCTCTTCTGTCTCCTCCCTTCCTGCTCATTTGTCCAAACTCAACCCCACGGTTACTTCAAAGGCTTCCTGGAACATGGTCTCAGTTATTATTGGCTAGAACCCTTTTATGATTCCAAGCATATCTCTGTCTTGGCCCTTACTGCAGTCTAGCCACAAAAGTTAATTTATTTGCCCAAACTTACTAAACAAAACACAAACTGAATATCTCCTGGCCATCCTTATCTGTGCTTGGTCTTGACAGTCTGAAGTCTAAGTGAGATCATCTAGTAAGTTCTGATTCCCATGGTCCTCATGGCCTGAAAAGTTATCACCCTGGCTTTGCTTAGCATAGCTCTTCCTTGTGGATTTTTCCTAATCTGCCAAGGATCTGGGTGGCAGGCTAATAGCCTCTTGAGTAGCAGATACTACACCCATGGAAACTTACGACTTGCCCTGTTTTCCAGATCCACTGAAAAGATAGATCAACCTGTCAATTCTCACTGAAGAAAAGGAGCATGAACATCTTAATTTCCTTGTGTCATCATCATATTGCCTGTCTATGAACTGAGAAAAATCCATGAAACGCTTCATTAAGCAAAGATTGCCCCTCACCTTGCTGTGACTCAGGGAGAATGGGTCTCATCCCTCTGGAGTTATGGGCATCCAGGGTTTGCTAAGTCTTCCCTCCACTTTTCTCTTTGAGGAAACCTTGAGATATCAGATCCTACAGAAGTGAATACTTGAACCCAAGATAATATGATGACTATTTCTTATCAAGGGACTGAACTACTTGGGCATAAGGAAACTTTTGGATGGAGAAAATTGGTCTAAAGGCTGATGGAGGTCAGCTGATGATAGCTGTTGTTTACATGACACTTACCAGATGCCAGTTCTCATCTGACTCGATTCGATTGTTAATAGCTCCTTACTATTCTAGTCTGTCACTATTTTTAGATGAGGAAAGGAAAGCAAAGGCTGTGTAACTTGCTTAGGTCACAAGCCGAATGTGTTGGAGCAGATCTGAACTCATGAAGTCTGACTCTGAAGACTTCATCATCTCTCACAGTAAGGGACAGACAATAACACCCAAGTGTGCTTTAGTATGGGTATAGGCAAATATTAGAAGCAAATCTCCTGAACAGTCAACTTTTTGGAGGGTGGAATAAGCTCTCTGTCTCTGTCTCTGTCTCTGTCTCTGTCTCTGTCTCTCTTTCTCTCCTTCTCACTCACTTTTGTGTCTCTGTATCTGTCAGAGAAAGAGAGAGAGAACAGATGTGTATATGTATGTATGCATGAAAACACATGCCTGTGTTCATGGTAAGGATCAGGATAAAACTTCCATCTTTCTGGAGAAGATGGAGACGGGTCCTCTGAGACCTTAATGACTACCATTTACTCAGATGGGAGAAAGGCTTCAAGCAAGCAAGTGAACAGAGCGCCAGCATTCTCTAGTCCCTCAGGTTAACATGAACAGATATCAGTTCAACTGCCTGTGAAAACCAAAGATGAATGAAGACAGACATCAAATTCCCTGCCTGCCATCGAAGTTGCTGTGCTGAACCAATGTGCCATTACCTGACTCATCCCCCCAAAATCAGGTTAATATATTTCAAACTGGCTAAGCAGTGTTGAGAATCCCTGAATTGAATCCCTGGGGAACAACTGCATTTAGATCTTAGAGAAGACACATTAACCGAGAGCTCCACACAAGGGCACTTTTTTTTTCTTTGGCAGACACTGTGAAGAGATGCTGAGTTTTGCTTCCTCTCATCTCACCTCCCTTTTTGCTCAGCCCTCTCTGTCCCTACCAGGGACGAGGCTGCAAGCTCTTCATACTCTACCTGTGGCAGCACTTTCCTGGCAGCAGTTGGTATTGCACTGGTCTCTCAGCAGCGACACCTCCCTCTCCAGCATCTCGATCCGGCTCAGCAGCTCCTGCAGTACCTGGGCAGAGCTGGCACATGGGCAGGCCTTTTTCGGGAGGTTGATCTTGTGGGTGAAGGTGACCTGGCTCTCTTGGTCTGAGGTTTGGCCTGTGTACTCTGCCAGAGTGTCATCTTCGGCACTCAACTCCTGCTCAGCCGAGGTCTCTAGCCCTGAGGAACAGAGGCTCTCCAGGGGCACATTAATGTTGTACACATGGTTGAAGACCATGTGCTGCTCCTTGCTGGATGTATTGTAGCTGGAAACCCCTCCTTCTTCCTCCACCGGTTGTCTCTGGACCCTTTCTGTGGCCACCTCCAGCTGACACTCAGAGGGCTTGAGCATAGTGCCCAGTAGGATCAAGTTGACACCAATGAACATGTTCTTCAGGGCTACTGTTTCCCCTTCTGTCCCCATCTTCTCACCCAGAGCTTGGTTCAAGAGCTGCCTGCAGTACCCAGCATGGAGTTTTAGGAATCTGCAAGAGAAACAAGGGCTGAGATAACTTCGGAGACCTGTATCTGGGTACTGGTACCAAGGCTTGCCACATCTTTTACAGCTAGAGCACAGGTAGATAGAAATTCTCTAAGGTGTGGAGGAGACAGTGGCTGCAAGTCAGCTCAGGACTTTATTCTCTCAAAGCATGGATCCCTGACAATGGATACTGCTTCTAAAAAATAACACTGCTTATAGCTGCAATCTGAAACACACACACACACACACACACACACACACACACACACACACACACACAGAGTTTTCAAATCTCTGCTTCCCTTGCTGAGACTCATGTGTTAAAGGCGTTGTTGCCAGCTAATGGGGCATTTGAGAAGTGTCTGGATCGTGACAGCTCTGACTTCACCAATAGATTAATCCATTGATGGATTCACAATTTCATGACATTATTAGATTTTGGTTGGAGGAAGTAGGTCACTAGAAGCATGCCTTTGAAGAGGGGTATATTGTCCCCAGTCACTTCGGACTTCTCTCTCTTTCCTTGCTTTGCTAAGGTTAGCAATTTGGCTTCAACACATCCTTTTGCCATGATGGACTAAACCCTCTGAAATCATGAGTCAAAAAAGCCCTTCCTCCATGAAATTATTTTTTTCAATGAAAAGTTTAACTAACACAATCATTTTGGCATAAACATGAATTTGTCCCCTATAGTAGGAAATGAATTTCTAGAACACACACCAGGACTGGGAATGGAGGTTCTATGGACAGCCTCTTCATCTGAGGAGACATCAGAGCTTCCTTTCACCTCTAGATGAGAATTAGGATGAAGGGACCACAGAAACTTAGGTCACTGTCCTCTTTCCTCAGGTATTTATTATGAAGGGGTCCCATTGGCCACTTCAAATGACTTATTCATCAACCCCTTTAAGATCACCTATTTAATAGAGGTTGACTTTACAATAATCAGCCAGCCAGATAATATAGTTCTGGGTAATTGTAATTGTTAATTATCCTTGGGTACATTTGTGATTGTCTGGGACAGTATGAGCCGAACTTTGTTTTAATCTTCTCATTAGTACAGTTCCCATGTTCTGTGACCACAGGGTGCCTTTCTTCCGAGGTCCTGTTTAAATTGCTAAAATAATGAATTAGCTCCTCTGTTGGTTACCTAGTCACAAAGAACCATAGTCTAATAAATTTACAGCAATGAAAGTCAGTTTTACAAAATTATATTCCCTTTCTATTCCCTATGTAAAAGAAAAAAAAAACTTAGACACTTTGCTTCTCAAGTAAAGTCATCACTACTAAGAAGATTAAGGACCAAGTAATTGTAACTATGAGTTTAAAAAGAAGATAGTAAACATCAGCTAATGCCCACTAGATGTTCACAGGCCACAGATGGTGCTGAGCACTCACACATGATCTTATTTGACCCTCAGGACAACCTTAGTATGATACTTATTTTACAATGTAGTATTTTCTGTCTAGAGTGGTTAAGATGTTAAAACTATCCTGACTGATCCTCAAACCTGTGTTCTTAATATCTGTACTTCAATGCCTTGCTTGGAAAGAGTGTTCAAAGTTGGGCATGATGGTACATGCTTATAATTCTAGTATATAGGAAGTGGAGAAAAGAGAATTAGGAGTTCAAAGCCAGCCTCCTTTATTTAGCAAGTTGGAGATAGGTCAGCATGGGCTACATGAGAATCTCTCAAAAACAACAACAAAAAAAGGCTTAATTTTTTGCTCATCTTTGATGGAAATGGTATACATTCTAGAACATTCCCAGGAATAATATTAAAACTTGGGTCTGGTTCATTGCTGCTTCTTCCACGAAACATTTTTCTCTCATCATTTCCTTTCTGAACCCTCTTCCATTCCCCTAAATGCAGGCTGAATTACCTTCCCCTCACAAACTTACTGTGCTAGACTATGGCTTTTCATGCCTGCTTCACCCCACCTGGACTGCTAAGTTGATCTGAGTCAGACCACGTCTTATCTGCAGCATATGACTGTGTGTTTAGGACACGAAAGTGCTCAGTATTTAGTTCTTGAATAAATGGATGGGCAGATGCATAAAAGAATGAATAAACTGATGAATTAATGAATAAATGCTCAGTGAGCAAAAGGTTGAATCATTCTCTAATTCATTTAATCTCTCTCCATTAACCCTGTTATTTACTGTTCTCTTCAATTTCAACTCTGGACAATGTCTGTGACTTCATTGAATTAGGAACAACATGACTAGCATAAAACCATATCTTATTTATCAGATATTATGCTATATGTTGGACTATTTTCTGCTCCTGTTTCTAACACAGAGAGGAAGCCAGCCAGACAAGAACTGTTGAGACTGCCAGACTGTCTGGGATCAAACCTCAGCCCCTTGAATGTCTAGTCATGGGAATGGTAGTAACTATGTTTCAGTCTCCCTATCTGTAGAATGGAGATAATAATGCTACCAGCTTTATAGGATTGGGGTGATGATTCTACCACTGTCTATATAATACTTATTCAGTATCTAGAATTGATTGAAATAAATAAATATTGTTTGTAGACTCTGGTTCTTCTGAATTTTCTGGGACACGTAAAATTGCTTACTTCCTAGTGGGAATCAGGAAAGCCCAGCCCATAGCATACCCTTGAACAATGATGGCAAGGTCTCTGGAGTACTGTGGGAGATGGCAATCCATTGATCGTATATAGATAAGGCAAATCTACCATGGAAATAGTAGGACTGGCTTGTCTATGCCAAGCTGATCTCATAGCTGTGAGCTGCTCCCAAGCTCTTCTAATCTGAGGCTGTATTTGTTTTCCCATGCTGAGTTACTCTAGCCATTACTTCCTTAGACATCACTTCTGCCCTCTGTCATTGGCAGTTCACCAGTAATGGCGAGACTCATTTACATATACATAAGGCCTTTACATATACATAAGACCTTTTATCTCTCTTGATCTAAATTTTAGCTGATTCATGTTAATATTGCTGAATAATTGTTTTCTTATGGAAATTTTAAAATTGTCATACAATATGCCATAGCACTTAACATAGATTTTTGATCAATAGTAGATAACAAATAAGTGAAAGAATAAATGATATTATAAATGAAAAGAAGGACAAATGGCATGAGAATTGGGAGGACGAAACACGTTAGAGTCTATGTGTAGGTTCAAAACAACCACTACTAAATTGTAAAGAGAGGTAAAGTTGCAGTTTTATGTGTGAAAAATGTTCAAGATTCTAATCAATAAGCTTATGTAAGTCAGGCAACCGTGTGATTTTTTTGTAAGCCCAAGTTCTTTTCTAAACTTAGGCTTTATTAATTGAAATGCAGAATGAAAACTAAACAAAGAGACAAGAGCAGTTCTGAACCTACTGCGTCAAGCATTGATCATTTCTGGGTGGTCAGCATTTTGAAAGAACTCAGATCTTGCCATTGGAGGAAGAGGAATTTAGCATTTTGTTCAGGGAGGTGAGAACACGGGAGGTGCACGTGTTACTTTCTCACTCATTCATTTCACAGGGATTTATTGAGTTGTCACTATATTCCTGCCCTTTATTCATGGAAATTATATATGAAAGTGGCAGAGTGGAACATAAGAATAAATAAATACCAAAGCTGGATATTGTGTAGCTATATAAAATATTTGATATATGAGATTGAGATCATATGATACCTATGTCTGTGTGTATTTAAGTCAGGAAGGGGGTAGCCACTGTGGAGAAAAATTTTTCAATGAAGGAGCTGATGAATTAAGAAATTGAGGGGTTATGGTCAGTGGTACAGAGTGAGGTCCACAAAGGCTTAGCTGAGCAAAGAGTGTCAGAAGTGGGGTAGTGTGCTAAGCAAATGAGAGAGGGATAAGCAGCCCAGTCCTGGGGAACAGCTGATTCAGGGCCTCTGAAGTCCTGAGAGTCTGAGTAACAGAATAACTGGAGCCAGGTGAGAGAGTGGATGTAGGGAGGGAGTCTGGGGCTCCAGGTCACGTATGCCCCTGTAATACATGGACAGGATTTCGCCTTTCACTGTGGATACTTGATCACTGTTCTAAAATACTTCACATGTCACACATTTATTATGACATGCTCCCAGTCTCATGTCCTTGAGAAACTCCTAGTCCCAAAGAGGAAAACAACACAAAACATAATGACAATGCAGTGCAGTAGTGACCACGACTGAGGAGTACTCCGACCAGACTGTCCCAAGGGGGCTAGAGCTCTGAAGGAGGGAAAGTGACACAGATAAGGTCAGGAAAGCCTTGGTGCTGTTTGCCAAGTATTTCTGGTCTGACTCTTGCGTACATGGAAGGAATACATCATCCAGCTTCACTTTGAGTTTGTGAAACTATGTCTCTAGTGCTGAATCATGAGAAAAAATGATGACTATTCCTTCTAGGATGAGGTATCCAATTGTCAAGAGGACACTTGCCAGGGTGTTTTCCCTCCTGTTGTGACTAGCCGTGAACCAAATGGTGGCTGCTTTGTCCCTTTGGGTCCCTGAACAACTGCAGTAAACAGAGCCCCTCTGCTGAGTTATGGTGAATGTGTAGCTCATGAGAGACATGATTTGTTTGTTTCTGAAGCACAGATCTTGAGACTGATTTTTTTTTCCCACAGAATAACTTAGTCTACCTAAAGGTAACATAGGCATGGATCTTAATGGGTTATTCTCTATGTAAAAATAAAAAGCAGACATTCATTCTACAGGGAATTCTATGTTGGCTGAAACTGAGATACACAAGAACATGGTTTGTTCAATGAGTATATTTGAAGGGCTGTCTGGTGGTAAGAGATTGGACCTTTACATGGCAAAACATCCTGGGGGTCAGTTCCCACAGGTAAATAATAGCTTTTCTAATAGAGTAAACTAGTGGTTGTAATGACAGGTAGTGAATGTCTGACCACTGGAGGTGTTCAGGCATAGTCTAAAAACACAAGGATTTTCACTCATCAGAAGCGACTGAACAGGATGAAAATCAATGTTAAAAGTCTTTTCCTTTCTGATACTTCAAAAGTTCATG